GTCTAAATATAACTTTTGAAAGATTTTGATAATTGAATAAAGTAGGAAACAAGAAAACTACTTATTCAGATCGAAAATGAATCTCCGGACATAATAGTCAGAAGATATACGTGTAATATATCGTTAGTTAGAAAACGGAGAATTTTAGAAAACATAATATCTAATAAATAAAGTTGTAGAAGGTAACGGAGAATGGCGAAAAATATTTAAATAATAATTTCTGTAAACTAACATTATTCAACATAAATTACATGTTTCGAGATTTTCTTAATTAGTGTAAACTTAAAAAATTATTTTTAAGTTTGAAAAAAGAATTTACGAGAAAAATCCACCGAATAAAGGCAATGACATTGCTTAAAATACTATTTCATTGTGCATGTGTGAAAGAAGAAGTGAAATATAAAAATATTTCATAGATATGTTTATAACTCAAGACCTGATGCTATATTTAAATTATTGGGTATCAATCAATATTCCGTTTATTCCGAAAAATCATCTTGTGAACTTTTAGAAAATTAAATTAATGAATGATTTGATGAAGTTTCTCTTTGTGGTATCGCAACAGTATCCACTTACAATTATTGTGTCAACTTTTGACCTGTCTATGACAGGCAATGCAAATCTCTCTATCCATTTTAGTAAACTTTGCTGTGCAAAATAACAGTTTAATAACTAATAGTCGTACAATCTATAATCAACGGATCGTACAATCCATAATCAGCCGTTAATATAATAAATAGGAGTTTTACCATTTTAATGGTATTTATGATTTGTTAGCTTTAAGCTTTAGCTCGGTTAAAAATGCAGTTTAAAAATTTTATAATAACCCAACATTGCCAGAAAATAATTTCTATTCAAGTAGAGAAATAAGTGAAAGTTTTGTGTTGCGCGCATCAGATTTTTTATTTAAGTATCGCCAGATACTTTTTTGTCCCCTCTTCATAACTGTTACAGATTTTTCAGGCACATATGATTTGATAAATTATTACGATAATGATGTTATAACCTGAATAATAAACGTATTGTCTTATTGAGTGTATGCAATTTAAAAAAAAATAACTTCTTAAAATTAAATTATATTATTTCTTCACAAATTAAGGGCATCAAAATGATGCTGCCAAGAGAAACGTTAAACAGAAAAAAAAAATTTCCCTAGAACATACACATGAAATATTACAGCCAATAAGAAATTATTGCCCCCCTGATGATTAATATTGTTTAACATTGTGAATATTTGTTATTCTCAAAGTTTACCTATTTTATGTCTATCACTTGTTTAATATTAATTTTCAATATAACATTTATTATGCATGACATATTATTTTGCAATAATAACTGTTTAATTACTAAAAATAACTGTTAACAAAACTGACTAGTGATACATACGTAAAAAAGACCCCAATCACCGTATATCAATTACACCATTCGATATTATTTTAATAGTTTATTTGCTTTTTTCAGATTCAAAAATAAAGTAACTATGTTAAATGTTACTATACATATTATTCCTATCAGATATTTAACTCAATGATTTTCATATGTTTGGTCAAGTTCTTTTAAAAAACATTACTTAAAAAAGGGAAATTGAGAAACAAAACGTAATGACTTGATAATTATGTGGCATGAGAGGATGTGCTATTTACAACTTAAATGTCGACTGCGTTTAATATACCAGTATCAAGAATATTCAAATACTAATGAATAAAGAAGGAAGGTTTTTTATTAAAAGGAATGTTATTATGAATCTCCTGATACTTTTGTGAAGAATGGAGGGTATAACTCTAAAAAAATTAAAGAAGGAACCGAAAGTAATGGACATATGGATAAAGTTTTGTTGGAAACTAAAATATTTTCTATTAAACTTCTCAGGGGTGGTCATCTCATAGATATTGTATGATTGTTTATCTTTTATACTCCCATCGAGAAACTTTTTTCATGTGGGGTTGCAATATTAAGAAAGTTCCGCCCTATATTGAGTATTTTATTATAACCATGAAAAGTCCATTTTCTTTATAAAAATAATTGATATTTAAAAAAATGAATATACTTTATCCTTCTAGTCTAACAAAGGTGTTTTGTTTAAGAAAAAGAAATACATTACTCATCTTTAACTTACCACCCTATACAAGTAACAAAGGTTATTAGCAAATTGTATTGGATTTAGCACAAATAGTCGTTGCAACAATAATCAATTTCTATTACTTTCTACAAGTTTATAAATATATATATTTTGTTTATCAACGAGATGAGTCAACTGACGACCACGCGAATATCATTCAGCATTCTTCACTTCTTTTCTCTTCCTCCACATATCCCTCATCCTTTCGGAATGTTATGTCTTCCTTTCCACCGACTACTTCTTTCCCAAAAACCTCCTTTATTTCCTTTTCACTACTAATACTTTATTTCTCCTCATTCGTTTTATTTTGTCTGTCCATTTCTTGAATTTAATCCTATTCAAAGAACCCTCGCTTGTTTTCCAAAGTGTTGTCACTTTGTCCTAAATCGGTTGCCATTTTATATTCTTCAACCATAGCATTTTACCAAATATATGCTTCAGTCTATTCTTATCTCTGATCTGATGGCTCTAAAATTTCAATCCTTTTTTTTCATTCTCTATATTCCCCTCTCAATACCCTCTACAATACCCGGCTATTACTCTTTTAGTAATTCCTCCCTCTATCTTCTTCGGCCCATATATATTTCTCAAGAATTTCTTTCTGTTTACACATAAACTCTACATATTTTTGGACCCTATTGCTTTCGGCCCAATATCACTAGTTTCAGCACAATCTTCTAGTGTCCAAGTTTTGCCACTCTAGATAAATCTTTTAGTTATATATTTTTTGATTGCGAGGCCTAGTATAATTTTGCTTCGATAATCCTACTTTATATATTCTATATTGACTTTTCAAAAATTACTTTTAAAAAATCCAACGGTATATTATATAACTATATTATTTCTTCAATTTTCGAAAACGTGTTCAATCTGTGAACATTTGTTCCCTTATGTTAATATGATTATCAAATTCTTTCATAGTGCGTATAACAAGCGGATGTCCGGGGGGGGGGAGGAGGCTTTCGAGCTGAAGCCTCCTCCCCAAAATGGTAAAATGCAACCATGTTTTACAGAAAAAAATCTATCTCTAAAAAACTATCTCTTAAAGTATTCTTGTTCGTGTTATTATATTTAATAGGACTTCAAGAACCACTTAAACACCATTTCATATAGTTGATCAATTTCTTTATTGTTTAAAAATCTTTCGAGCTGAAGCCCTCCCCCCAAAATTAAATCCTGGATCCGCTAGTGGTTCGTATTAATCCATTTTTCATAATTACTGAAAATGAGAGGCTTTTGCTTATTTCAAATAAACCATATTAAAGATACCGACCATATTAGAGGAAGCTGTTAGAAATAATCATCATTTCAATCCTATCGAACTGTTTCTAAGAGGATAAAAGTTGCGGTATATTATAAACCATTTAATTGTACATTTATATGACTAGTTTAATAAAAATTGTCGGAGCCATTTTTGAGAAAAATGAGTTAAATCAAATAAAGAAAGTACAACTTTCGGTACCATATGCACACCCACAAACGCAGAGACCATTTTGATAGACATGGTTATTCGGACTCAATGGACTAAATGTACTGTTGAAGTCTCGAATTGGAAATTTTTCACGATCGCAATACTTTCCTTAACTGAATATTTTATATGTTAGCAAGTGAAAGTACAGAATTAATAGAATGAATAAATGAATTAATAATTAAGAAATCAGGTCTTTAAGTCAAAATACAAAATGGATTCAAGGGGCAAGAAAAATGTAAATAATCTATGGTTTATTTATCACGGTTTTAATCTACCTTTTTTGTTAATTTTGCAGAAACCTACTGGCTTTATCATGAAACTTTGCCCAGCATTTTTTGTTGCTCAAGATTAGTCGTTTAGTTGGAGCGTGTTTTGGTTCTGTTATTTAGTTCTGATAATTTGAGGATGGGGAATATCCAGAGGGAGAAGCGAGGGGCAACAACCCTCCACCCTCCAGAAGCGTAGGAGCCACGTGTTACATATTGCCTCTGTACATCGAGAGTTATGGAAAAATATCAGTATTATATGTTAGTATTTTAAGCTTTTTATTGACTTCAGATTATTCATTAGCTATTAATTAGAAAAAGTGCTTGTTCTTCATGCAATTAACACTTACCAAGACAATATACATGTACAGGATCAAGAACTTAATTTTGGGGGAGGGAGGGAGGGGAGAGAGGAGGCTTCAGCCCGAAAGATTTTTTTTTTTGTATGTATATATTACGATAATTACTTCGGAAGAAATAAAGAAACTAAATACCTAAATGAAATGGTGTTTAAATGATTCTTTAAATCCTATCAAATGTAATGAGACGAGTAATAGTACTTTTAGAGATAATGTTTTTCATAAAAAAGGTTTTTTTAATTTTATTTTACCATTTTGGGAGGAGAGAAGGGTTGTAGTCCCAAAGTCTCCCTCTCCGCTGTACATAGGCGGATAACATACATGTACTTTATTTCAAAAAGTGATTTAGGAGGAGAAATAAAAAAATAGATTTTTTAAGTTTGGTTAAACTCCTTAAGTGGTATTCACTTTGTAAAGTTCTTGGCATCCTTCCCCAGCGTCCACTAGCGGATCCAGAATTAAATTTTGGGGGGGGCTTGATTTTTTTTTTTTTTAAATTTCCATAAATGTAATACTCGAGAAAAAAAGAAATAAACCATATTAAAACTATACACAATGGCGTTCATTTGTCGTTAAAAAAAAAAAAAAAAAAAAATTTCTTATCAATCTATAATTTAAACAATCTAGTTACTATTGAACACTTTTATTACAATAATATATATACTGAACAAATAAAATAAAATTACTATCTTATATTAATAAAATTAATATCTTATTATACTATCAAACAAAAATTAATAATAAAAAGTAATTTATGTTTTCTAAATCACAATACGCTTTCCATTTTATTCTTTGTCAATGTAGAGGAACTCCAGACGTCTCGGGTGCTTTTGAGCAAACATGTCTATTACCTGAAGTAAATTTATAGATTACTACTACATTATATGTATAGTATTTTTTGAAGAAAATAAAAATAATTATATTAAATAATATTAATACCTCGGAAGGATCGATGTCAATAACGTTCTTGTGAATATTCATCAGGGCAAGACCGTTAAGCCTGTTTTCTCGCATAGTTGACCGTAGGTAGGTTTTAATCAATTTCAAAGATGAAAAACTTCTTTCTCCTGTACATGAAGTAACTGGCAAGATACAGAGTAAGTGTAACAATTTCCTAATATTTGGGTAAAATCGAGCTGAAGAATCGCAGAGAGCATCGATTGCTTTAGACGGAGGTTTCTCTTTCTGCTGGGTCCAATGCTCACGCCACATCGCTATTTCATTGTATAATTGAAATGCACTAGGTTCTTGACAGTATCTTTCTGCAACATTTACAATCTCCTCGTCATATTTAGCTGGTTTTACAAATGCTGGAATGAGGCTAAAAAGTTTCGCGAGATCAATGTTAGTTGATGAAAATCTTGTATTCATTTGATTAATGAGTGTATCAAGAAATGGGATGAACACATTTATTCTATAATAGTCACGGGGACAAGAGGATTGAGCATTAGGTCGATAAATTTGAGTTCTCACATTTCGGGGAGCTTCTGTCGTAATATCATGCTGTGTTGCCACTTTTGTGGCTGCATCAAAAATTCTGTCGTAAAATTCATTGTCGGACCGATATTTTTGGAGTAACTTGACTAAAGAATTTGCCATAACGTAGCATTCTTGAAGTTCGACATGAGGACTCTGAAGATGGACTGACAATGAAGTTGTTAAATCAAGTACCGTTGTGCAGAGTAATAACGAAATCAAACCTACGCACAGAGAAAAGAAGACCGGCAGATTTGGCTGTTGGTTTTTCTTTATCAAAAACATCTAGACATGACATGACTGAATCAATTACTTTTAAAAAAAATGTGACAGCATCATGTCGCTCAATGAAACGAGTTTCACACAAACTTATCAGTTTGTGCCGCTTTCCACCTGGATGCTGTTCTCTTAAGATTGTGTCCATTTTGTGAACTCTTTGTGCAGAATCTTTTAAAAAGTTAATAACTTCATTTATGACTCCACTAGCATTTCTAATAAGGTTCGGCACATGCGTGAGCCAAGGCCAGATTTAGCTGATGTGATGCACAATGGATATAAACAGCTAGGGGATTCAACTGTTTAATCCTAGCTTGCACACCTTGAAATTTGCCAGCCATATTTGAACCGCCATCATAGCCTTGACCTCTTAAATTATTAATATCAAGACAAGTTCTTGAAGTTTGTCTACAATAAGAGCTGTGAGCTTTTCACCAGTTACTTCATTGGCTTCAACAAAACCAACAAACATTTCTTTAATTTTAAAAACATCAATGTCTACATATCTTATGCACAAAGTCATCTGCTCAGTCGAACTGGTATCTCGGGTCTCATCTGCAATCAATGAGAAATATTGTGATTTTTTAATTTCTCTCACGATTTTGCTTACAATAATTTCCCCACAGCATTGAATCAGATCGTTTTGTGTGGTTTTGCTTATAAAAGTAGCATTCCTTGGAGCAATTTTTAAATGATTTTCTAATTCTGTATCACCTGCATCAATTCTAAATCTCAACAACGCCCGAAATTTCCCTTGTTGCTCAGTAATATCTCTTTCAAGTTTTCCATCATCGCGTTGGCCACGAAGAGCAATATTTTCTGCTCCACATAGCAAAATGGTTTTTACAATAGGAACCAGACGTTTCCTATTTTCAGCTATTCTTCTACTTGCTGCCGTTTCCAATAAAATGTCAATTTTATTTTCAGGCTTTTCGTATGTTTTCATAAAATCGATACTTTTTAAGACTGAAAATGTATGATAATTATTTTTACTGTGATCCCTAAACATTTCAAGAGCATGCTTGTTTTTTTTCAAAGGGATAGTAACTAACTGCTCAAGCGGCGTTTTCTTTTTTATGCTCGCCTCTTTGGGTCCAAACAGCACACAAACTCGGCAATACGCCCCATCATTTTTTTTACTATATGACAACCATGGATTGTCACCTAACCACCTCAAATTAAATTTACGTTTTTGCCCAGATTCGAAATAGGTTGGAAAAATATAATTATTATTTGGGGTCCACGCTTTTGTTAAAACATTGTACAATTCATTGTCAGGAATACTGGTTTTCCCAACAAAATTACCTATATCATACTTTTCTGAGCTAAAACTAGTAGTACTTGCCTGGACAGGTTCTGAATCCGACGACGGAGGAGTAGAGTAAACATTACCTTCATCCGTTTCACTTGCACCACAGAATTGCTCCTCATGTTTACATCTTTCCGTCAAACTTTTCTTATTAAAAAAACAAGAAATATGCAATTGTTTGCGTTTAGACATGGCAATTTTAAGTTATTAAAAAGTATGTGCACTATTAATCGCATAAAATCCTTTAGAAACTAAATTTGTCCACTTTTTCTTGAACTGAAACAACATAAACATTGGTAGACACGCTCACTACTGCCATCTAGAAAAAGACGCGAGGCAAGCCCGGTTTTATGCGGTTAAGTTTCTAAATCAAAGTCTTGATGAAACAATCAAGAAGTGTAACTGTGTAAGTGGGTTTTGATAAAGTGTGATGTAATATTATTACAATATGAAATTTTGAACGAGTTAAACAGCGCTCTTCGTGTTATTGGAAATATACTATTCTTCAAAACACGCTCTTTGGCGCGCTTTTGTTTTTGTTGTGATTGCCCGCGTTCTTGTACTTTTTGAAATATTCAATTTCAAATAAAAATTTAACGTTTGTCGGTACTTATTTTGAAATTAAAAAGTTCTAATGTTCAAGGTTAATATCACATCTTCAGGAATATATTGTAATATATTGAATATTAATATTATTAGTACGCCTTATACACTTCAACGTGGAAAGAAAAGGACCTGCTCAAGGATTGTAGCCAGACTGATTGGAAATATATTTAAGAGTTTTATGGTGAAATGAAAACTGGATAGTTTATTAAAAATGGTAACACATTTTTGTTTAACATCAGAGCTGCTATCACGTTTGTGACATGTCATCCAAGCGAAATCCCATGTAGCCGAAAGGCAAGAAAAACAGAAATAAATAAATAATAAGATACTATTGCAATATTCACATTTTTACATATCTAAATTAAAACATTACTAAGATTTTATCTATAATTGTGGGTACCTGATTCTACTATACATGATTTGAGATTTTTATGGTAATTTTTTATTACAATATAAGAACTAATGATTATGCTTACTGGGATGCATTGACCAAATTTCAAGTTACTAAATTTTAATTTAATTAATAAATTTATTTAATTTAATTTAAAAATAATAAGCATACGATATATATTTTACTGTTTTGATTTGTATTTTTGAGGTCTTAAAGCTTATTTCCTCATCAAAAAATAATTTCGTTGTCCCGACGAATGGCATTATCTTCATTTTGTAACATAACCTGATGCTTTTCAACCGACGAGGTCTTCATTGGAAACCAATATTACTTTCAAGAACAATATTAATTACAAAAACAATAATGATTTTAGGAATGAATTGTTTATTTTATCTTTTTCCTGACAAGTACTTATATTTATTTACATGTCATTCTATTTTAAAAAATTCACATACGATTAAGTATTACGCTTTTCTTTATCTTTTTTATTTGGGGCTCCTCCCCTTCCTCGGCCTTACAGGCTATAGGGGGTTTTCCCAGGCCAGAGGATGAGGGTGAGGATTTAAAAGAATTCCGGCACCGTGGCGCGAACTCGTGACTACTTTTTCCCGTTGTCTTATGTATCAGGTTGCCGGGCAACGGCGGAGCTGTTCACACACGTGAACCCGTTCAGTCACCCCGACCTCAGGTATTATGCTTAAATATTCATAAAAAAAAAAGAGAACTAATGAAAAAAAAATATTTTTTTTCCATTTTGGGGGGGGCTTCAGCCCGAAAGCTCCTCCCCCGTGAATCCGCCTGTGCCAGCGTCCCTCCGTTTTATTAACTATTATCGCTTGGGCACTTCGTGATAATTTAAGTTGATACCTTATACTGTCTGGCTTCCGTAAGAACAATTTAGAAATATATAGTATTCATATTATTTTGTATAATTAATTAAATGTCAACTTTCTATTTTCTTTTATCGAGGTACAATTATTAAGTTTGTTTCATTATTGTTAAACTGTCGGTAATTTTTGTATTATTATTTTTATTACTTCAAATAGTGCAGGAACACCGGCTGTTGGTCATCTTAAACCGCTTTTTATTTTTATTCTTTATTTGTATTCATTTGAATGTATTTAAATAAAATAAAAATTACAAAACAAATAACAAATGTCTGCCAAGTAAGATTGAACAAATAATATCTATATTTAAAGGTTTATAATTTTTGGTAAGAGTATAAAATCTTCGAAAAAAGCCGTTTTCGGAAATACAATAATCTCTCAACATTCGGTTTGTTATCCACAAACTTTTTTCACCAAGCAAATATTAAAATGAGGAAGAGTTCCTTATTTTAAAATTACGAATTTGATAATTCGTGATTAAATAAAAAAAAATCCAGCATATACTGAACATCCATATCGCTACTGTTATTGAAAAAAGTCGTTTGTAAATATTGATTGTTTCTCGAGGTAATACAACTAATTATTCCTTTATGATTAATGATGAATGATAGAATGATTTTATTTTATTTTCCTCAGTTATATTACATAGTAGCAGATTACCTATACTAGGTGCAGACTACTAAATGTCATCTTTTAGCAAAAATATAATAAGTATGGTAAAATTTTATATACGATCTTTTACGCTAACAGTAGCGTTATATATTTAATACGGTATGTTTTCACTCGTAAAATGTATGGAACTTATCCATAGGAAAAATTCAACTTTTTGTTTGATCGGAGTCATAGAGACTAATACTTTTCTTCAGTCAGAATAAATCTAATTAAGTTGGGATAAAAAAATATGCGAAAAGTTCACACAACTTGAATATTTAAGGAGGAAATCGAGACCAGCTAGTTGTACAACAGAAATAAGCCTTTTTTTTACAAAAAGAGTAAAAATTAATTTAAATTTACTGAAAATTAAACGAAATTTAAATAACGCCAATAAGTTTCATGCCAGTAACGTTTTTTTTTTTTTTTTTGTTCTTCCCTACCTCGCCTTTTAGGCTATACGGGATTTTCCCGGGCCGGGGGATGAGGGCGGGGAATTTAAAATCCCCTCCGGCACCGGGACGCGAACTCGTACTTTTCGTACTTTTTATATCATCTCAAATCTCTGTTATCCGGTTGCCAGGCAACTAGCGGTGCTGTTACACACGCTTTAGCCTATTCGGCCACCCCGCCCCCAATGCCAGTAACGTTTGGAATTGACTAAAAAATGCAGTTTAAATTTAAATAAAACCTAAAATTTTATAACCCTATAAAGATATTGTCTTAACCTAACTCCCACTTCAATGATCAATGCCTTCCACATTTCATAGCCATTATATATTGTAAACAATTGTTTATATCAATTTTATTTGTTAAATGGAATTCAATGAAATTGGTACTAGGTAATATCTATACTAATCTCCAAATTCCCTCCAAGTTTGGATCAAATCGAACGTGCAATTTTTAAACTATGGGCGTGTCAAATGGTACATTTCTTGATCTGAAAGCAGAAGTCTTTTTTGGGGGGGGGATTGGATAGAATTTGATAAAGTCATACGTATTTCATTATCTGTTTAGCCAAATCTAACATGCGGTCTTAGAGATAAAGATGGATCATGAAAAAAAATATTTTCTCATATATAAGAGAAAGTAGTGGACAGAACATCTACCTTTTTCCAACTTTGAGCCAAATCGGACGAGCCGTTTCTGAAATATTGGCAGATCTACAAAGATGTGTTTTTGCGTGCTTAAGCGGAAGTGCTGGATGATTTTGATAAAATTGATATGGGACCATCTAGACACCAATCCGCAGAATCTCTGAAAATTTCATGAAAATCGGATGAACGGTAGTAGGCGATATGCCCGTTACATCGATTTGACTACAGACAGACAATCGACGAACCAAATTTGATCATTGATGTCTGAAACGTTAAATGCCAGTGGAAATTTTCGATTCTAACAAAATTTTTTTTATCCTCTCGCATGAATACAATGTTTCTCTATATTCAGTGGAACGAAATACTTGAATAGTATATATATTAAAAAGTTGTTTCTTTATCAAAAATTTTTAACCAAATAAATAAGCTTTTTGTTTTGTTTTTTTGGCATATGGTATTTATTCATATTGATAAAAACAATATTTTTTAGATTTTATGACCAAGCCTCATTTAAATTACGAATAGAACCCACTATCTATATTTTCCAAATCGAATTGTTCTTTATGCATTAACTTCATATAA